GAAACTGTATCTGGAAGTAAAATAGCTCGGGAAAATATTCTTTTCAGATCTCCAAGACCTTTCTATATCAAAAGTTCTTTTTGAATTTTCAATACATAATTCTTTTTTATATTAGTAAACTTTGCGTAAGTCGGATAGTTGTCTAAAAAAAAACTGATTAGTTTAAGTAGTTTTGAATAATTCAAATAGAATAGATTTGAAAGTTATATCGTGCCTGAAGAACGCTAAAATAATTCAGGGAAAATGTCAAGTGCGTCTTATTACGTCTGTGATTACGTCTCATTCAACAACACAGTAAAAAAAAATCGATTTTAATAAAAGCCGATACAGCGTTGATTTAAATATGTCCCGTCAATTTTTCCGACGTTATTTTATTTATTTTGAATTTTTCTCATTGCGAAGAAAATAACTTGTACGGAATTTAAATAATCGAATGTGTTCATAAAATAAACGAAAGCCGATGTGAATCTTTTGATTTATCCAAGTCTTATGGTAGAACGCAAGAAAATCTTTTGAATAGTTTCGTAAAAAAAAAAAATAATATGTAAAATACATTGTCATTATTAATCGTATACTTATAATTATTTATTTTTCCGGGTTTTCAAACATACCACAAAAATTCGATTACAATAATCAACGCATTTTCAATAAAATTATGAAATACACGAGAAGTCATGTTACTGGAAGAATAATGGTAGTAATTTAATATACATTTTAAACTATTCAAAAACACGCCACTATATTAGTCATACTGGTATTGATTTAAACCGATAAATATGTATCATATAAGTGTATGTAAGCTGATAATATAATTTATGTGTAAGTACTCACTTATTGGGTCGTACATCGCCTTAAAATCCATTTTGTTGTAAAAGAAATAAAATCTTTGAAATAGTAGGCAATTTTAAAATTAATCGATCAAAAATTGAAATGCACGCTATTACTCTTAACCATTTTGTTTATTTTCACGAAAACGTTTTGCTTTTTCGTTAAAGCAAAAAAATCGAAAACAATTTGGGGGAGGAATATAACTCCTATTACCTTCCCCTCTGCGCACGACACTAGTACTATAATTATTTATTGTATTGTTATGAAAATCACAATTCTTTATAACAGCAATACAAAAAAGGACAGACATACTTCGCACGTGGGTGCAGCCACTGTTGTAGATGGGAAGTTAAGAAGGTAGGCATCTGTAAACAACACTAAACCATTGCTATCAAAAAAACAATTCCGAGCCGAGATCAGTTGATGCGGTTGCTTTATCAATAATACAATTAATATATGGTATTATATCATATTATGGTAAAATAATTAAAACAAAGTACGTTTCCATGATAACAATGATTGTTTAAAAAATATTAAAATAATAAAAACTAGTAAAAACTCAAAAAAATAATAACAAAAAATGAAATACACGGTTGCCAATGATAACCATATTTTTAATCTTTCTATCTTTTTAAACCTAAACACCGAAGTTTTACTCATTATCTAAAATATTAATGAAAATTTTAAAAATTGACCTCTTTAAATAAAGTATCACCCAGAGAAAATTTTCTATCAGAAAAAGTGCTATACTGGATAATTAGAGTATGTTTTTTAGTAGAAAAAGGTCTTCACATACAAAAAAAAAAAATAATAATTAATAAATATCTTTGTTAAACCAATACATTGTTCGTTCCACTAAAAATCTAAAAGACGTCCTAGGATAGTGAGAACGAATGCAGCCACTGTTATGGGTAATTTAATGTATACCTGTAAGCAACGATAAACCATTGCGTTCGAAAAAACGGTTCTGAGCGAAGTTCAGGTGATAGTGATGCTGTGTCAACAATATATTATATGCAATATTATAGTAAAATAATTCAGTAGGCTCTATATATTTTCTTTAATAATATTTGTTTAATGTTGTACCGATTTTCCCGGTTTTCGTTGAATTTTTAATGCAACTGCTGATCAAGAAAGTCGTTTTCTTTGTAATTTTTTTAAATAATTGAACACAATGTACGTAAAAGTGTATAAAAATAATTCTATCATTATTTATAATTTTATTTTTTTAATATAATTCAGTTACAAATATTCGTAGAATATTAATAGAAAACATATATTTTACTTTTTCTTGGCATAGTAAAATGTTCAAAATATTTGAGCCATGTTTGTGCTATTTATAGACTTTTAAATTTTGTGAGTTTATACGTAGTGTCTATTTGGGAGGTATTCTTTAGATAAAATTATTAGACTTAACAGAAATGCTTGAATAGTTGATAGGAGATTTATAATTTTAAGTAGTACATAGCGGTTTTAAAAAAAAAAAAAAAAAAAAATATGGAGGGTAATGTAGTATTTTTTATTTTTTATTTTTAAGAGTTTGAAATAAGTTAGACGATGGTCAGTTTTTATGTTGCTGGGTCCGAAAGGTCCGTAACTAAATAAACGACAACAACATGACCATATTATCATTATTAAATAAATCTTGTTAAAGAAGATAGTTAAGTAATATATGTTTTTTTTTTTGGAAAATTAAAATACAGTATTATCGTCTCGCCGGCAATCCGGGTACAACTCGAGTGTATCGTATAATAATATATCAACATTAACTACAAGCCACCCGCACACGTGCGCAAACGTATTTTTCAAAACTTATCGTCGGGTTGTACGCGTTTTCGATATCCATCAATAACGACCTGCCGCTGTTTCGGATTTTGTATTTAAAATCCCATCACTGCGCATCTGAAAATGCACAAAAGTCCAATCATTAGCCTCTTTAAATAACGCTACTACCGCCGCCGCCATTATCCGAATATGGACTTTCTACTCCTGTGGGCTAATTATTATTATACAGGACCGACCGATTAAACCGGATTAGGGAGTCGTTTACTGAAATAGGATTGTAGAAAATTTAAACTAGCGTTTGACAAACCTATTTTGTCTACCACGACTTCCAACGCACCACATAAAATGGCGCGGTAATAAGCATTATATATATATATATAAATATAATAGCAGCGTTGCCTTTTAATTAATTTATTATTATTATCATTATTGTTTTTATTTTTTTTTTTTACTAATTATTACGATATAATATACAGGTGCATTTTGTTAGTTGCGTCGTATAGAAAAACTTTTCGATGACTTTTTTCAAGGAACTGAAATAAAAAAAGACGTCCTAGGATAACGAAAACGGGTGCAACCACTGCTTTAGATAATTTAATGCATATCTGTAAGCAACGATAAACCATTGCTGACGAAAAAACGATTCTGAACGCAGTTCAGTCGATAGTGGTTCTTTGTCAACAATATATGTCATATTATGATAATATAATTAAATAGGCATTATATATTTTCTTTAATAATATTTATTTAATATTGTATCGATTTTTCTGTTTTCCCGTGTTTTTGCCTAGAATATCACATTTACTAAGAAAACTTTTGGCATGGTCGAAAAACAACCCTAAAGTACCTAAATATAGAGTTATTTAACATAAACATGTAATATCTGCATAATATCTAAACTTCAAAAGCTTTAATTTTGAAACTCAGTCAATCCGCTCAATTCTGACTTTACCACCTCTCTTAAATCAGAAATACACATATGTTCGTAAAAAAAAAAAATTGTCCAGTTTTCCTATTTTAATTTGGACAATTACGACTGTGGTTCCCCACCCTATAAACGTTGTATATTTCGTCGTGGTTTATCGTGACACACTACCGCGGCTTCTACACATACCTACACAACATAACATAAAATTATGCAAAACGTAATAATAAAATATTTGAGCTCGGTGCTCGAAATAAGCTTTCTATAGAGCCGACTTTGGGTGGTCCTATCGTTCTTGTGTCACGCGATGACTAAAAACAATATATATACCTACTGCAGTATACCTACCATATGGTCAAAAAAATCCTTGAATTATGGTTGTACTCGTACTATTATTCGGACTTCGTCGTCGCCGTCTTGTGTGGATATGTATACGACATCGTTACGAAAAGTTAAAAAATATTATTCATATACCATATATTATAACTACGAACTCGAAAGATATAATTATAATATTATGAAAAATGGGTTGGTATAGAAAAATCAAGGCCATATATTGAAAGAGGGGTTCGATTCCCCCCTCTCAGAAAATTTTTCAAAATGATTGTTTATTATTTTCCCAGATAAATGCTAATTACATATGTTTGTATCAATAGAAGATTTATTTATTTTATTTCCGTTCTCTTCCCGAAAATTTGTTCCGATTGGAGAAAAACATTAAATTCTGATGCTATGGGTATACTTTGAAAACCCAGTCTGGACTTTAATTAATTAATTAATAAATTACGGTCAAACGATGACGAAATGTGTAAACCGTATTTTTTATTATTTTTTTTATTTCTTTGTCTGCTATACCACACTTTTTTCGAATGCATCAAATGAATCTTCTTCGGGCTCACGACTACTGATGGACTCGTGTATAGATTTCGTGTGAAGCCGACCCATAGCACTAAATAGGTACGTCTGTACTAAATCTCTTTTTTGGTCGAAAGAACAACCGAGTAGAACAATTCATTAGTCAATAGGTATTAAATGAATGACAAATAACACAACAATAAATTAGGTATTTACAGACACGAGGAAATAATTAAGTACATATTATGGTTATAACTCGTAAGACTAGAGATTAGAGACTAGAGAATTTGTGTTATCAAAATTATAACACGGTAAGTTACTAGTAATGGTGAACATGGCGGCTTTAAACGTTTTCATGGTTATAACATCACAGGGACAGCAATCTAGTTTATTATCTATACCTGTGATGTACAAATTATTCCGAACGCACCACACACGTAATTACCGAACGAATTGCAGTTTGTAGATACCTATATATTTACCGTGTCACTGCAAACTCGAATTTATAGGCAACTCGCGCGTGGCCGTTATACTGAACCGTGCAATTTAAATATACCGACAATAAACTTAAATAAGCGCAACTTAAATAGACGTAGGTACATAAGTGATGTACAGCATCAATTGCAAAGTTTTACCAAAACTGTTACGATGCGCAAACGAGTGTTCGACCGATCATAATGATGAACAACTACAGAGAAGTAAGAGCGAATCAAATTAGTGAACTCGCATATTATTTTGTCAATGACGGAGTATCGATCACTTGTTTATAATATAATTATATTGTTCATGTTTTAATCAACCTATATCCTTCTCGATATAACCGAGTTTCCGAATGACTAATTAATTTGTTTCTCATCAATATTCTACAATATTCCACAATATAGAACGTAATAATATTAATTTATTAGTGAAATATTTAAATATGTATAGTGTCAATTTATTCGATATACAACGAAACGTACACGTCTGTTGAAATTAAAAATTTGTCTGTCTCAAAACCACATAAAAATGTTTATTTATATTTCAATCCTTATATAATAGCAATAATTAATATGTAGTTTTTTTTAAAAAAAAGTCCTTGATAAATATACCCGCATCGCAGTTTTTTTTTTTTACGGTTTAGCTTATTTCCAAAATTTTCGTTTGGTATATCAGAATATTATATTATATAGTCTATACATTTAACGGTGTTATATTTTTAGCTAACGAACGATCATTGTGCGTTTTTAATTAAAAACAAATAATACTAATATGTTTATTCACGAAAATAGGATGTTGGCTCCCATATAATATAATATAAATTTATCGTTTGTATCGGTACGCACTGTAAACATCATATAATATCAATAATATTATAAAATATTGCAATCAAAATAATGTGATTTTTTTCTTTTTATTATTCTTGACGAGAGAAAAAAGTTAATTTAAAATTTTTTTTTTTTAATTGCCCGTCATTCACCGTGATATCGAATAATATTTTTAATGCGCGCGCATATATTATATTAATAATAATATGTACTTTATATGAGTACCTATTTCAACACTGCATTATCTAATTTCTGATTTGTCACGGTGTATTTTGAAAAGCGGCACGTATAATAATATTATTTAAATGGCATTCCGGTAATACACCATCACCAAAAGTGATTTAATTAATGCTATATACGAATATGATAATAATACAATTAACAGTTTCAAATAATCGTGTTGTTTCGACTTCGTGTCCCCAGCACCCCCACTTGGAAGTTTTTAGAAAAAACCGAGAAGCATTTGTAACCGAGAAATGGAGAACGTTTGTACTAATGTTTGTACCGGTTTGTACCGTAAATTTCATCATTTGCACCGAAAGCACAAAAAAGTTAGAGCCGTTTTAAAGTGGGGGTGTCGGGGATATGCCAGCATCCCCTCCTAGAGTTATTAGGAAAAAAACGCAGGCGATCGTTTGTACCGGGTTGTACCGAAAACTTCATCGTTTGTACCGAAAACGGCAAAAGTAAAAAACAGTTATGGGTGTCTTAAGTTTCGTAAGTAATGACAGCTTGTATACTTTTGCAATAAAGCGAAATGCTCTCTTTGAGGTAGTGATAGTTGCCTAGTGACATTACAGTACTGTACTAAATACTTACACTATAATCTACTCACTTTAAGAACGGTACTCGCCATTTATGTTTTTCAAATAGGTTATGGTACGAAAACTTGTAGCCACTAACCGCCTAACTAATTCTTAAAATGAATAAAGTATAAACAGTGTGTCCCACAGTATCCGACGGATTTTTCTAGCGCTGTTATATACAATTTTCTAAGAAACGACCGTTTTAAATTCTACTCAAACGTACGAAAAACAACGCTAACGATTTTTATTACGAGTACCCTGTGTTATGTGATAATTATTTGCTACTTCGTTAGACGTCAGTTGACTATTGAATCGTCTGGACTTGTCTATTAGCTATCTACTACTTAGGTGAGATAAACTTTTTATTGTTGTATATAACTGTAAACAATTTATTAATTATTTATTATTTATTATTTATTTATGGCTGAGCTCAAGGGCGTCCATCTTCGAAAATCTAGGGAGGGAGACATTGTATTTGTCTATACTATCTGCAGGGAGGTAAATCACTAGAGGAAGTTGGTGTACACATATTTGGAAATACTATGAAAGTACGTGGATGTACTTGGAAGTAGAGTCGCTGCCAGATATACTCGCACGGCAGCGGCAGCACTTTCCAGTAGGTATAATTGAAATTAATAACGGCATGTTTCTCTCGCGTGGCACCAAGTTGTTCTTTATAAATGTATAAAAATTAACGAAAACATACGGAGTAAGTACCCCTCCAGGTTTCCCATTATCGTACCATTAAAATTTTTTTGTACAGAAATGAAATTGTCATTTTTTTACTAATTTTTAGTGAGAAAGACAGTAGGAAAATGGATATCTGCTGTGTAATCGATAGTGTCCTAATTGAAAAAAAAAACAAGATACGAAACCCATTTCTGCTACTGTTCATGCTCTCACAATAATATTATGTACGTGACTTTGTTGTCTTATTAAATAATAAGACGGGATAGCCTTCTACTTTGTATAAAATCCGTGATAAAATATTGAAAAAAAAATGCGATGACGTGGACATAATTGTATGTTTATACAATATGCACACCACGAACAATCATGAGATAATAAAATGCGCTCTCGCACGAAATCGCAAGCTGGCTTCAAAACAGCGAGGTAGTGGGCGTGGCTATAGTCAACTGCCGCTATGGCGATACGGCGCGCAACGCCATCTCTCGGGCGTTACACCTGTTACCACGATTAAAGATCGAGAGGTTGTGCAACGAGCTATGTTAGTTAGGGTGAGGTGAATTTTATGCTAGTAATTAGTGAAAATAGTATATGTTCTTTATCAAAACTATTATACTGGCTTGTATACTAGCTTTAATCAGTATAACTATTCAGTAAACTATTCACATGAGCTTAAAAACTAGTATACTAGCTATTACACCAGAGATAGCACAATAACTAGTATCGTGTGAAACGAAATTTAAATAATGAAAAATTACGCCAACCTTAACTAATTATAAACTATGACTCTAAATTGATTATATTGTCTGTGAATTATAATTTAATTTCTTTTTTTAGGATTAGAAATACCATTTCTAACGTTTGATGACCCCACAACCCATTTTAATATGACAATAATTATTGGAGCTCATTTATCATTGGAAGGTATAAAAACAAGATTTTCTCATCAATTTAATCATCATCATTTTAACAAGAGAAGTCAATTGTATTTTGGATACATATCATGTTTTAAAGCTTATAAGAAACTCATGGAGCTCAATAAGTATTATGTATAATAGTAAAAGTAATAAGATAGATTGGATATATATTGAACAATTAATTAATCTGCAAGAAGCTGAAGGATTGCATGCTGGAAAAAACTTCGAAGAGTATATATAAACTGGAGAATGAGACCAATGAAAGTAAATATAGCAGCCCAGACATTAAGTTCGAGTGTAGCTGATTCGATTGATCTCTGTCATAACTCAAACATTAAAGGTTTTGAAAACAGTGAAAATACAACAGAATTTATCTGAATGGTGGATAACTGGTTAGACATATTAAACTCGAGAAATCCTTATGGGTATGGCTCTAAAGCATCAATGAAAATTAGTAATCGGCACATTCGGCGAACAACATTAAATAATACAATTAGTTATATAAAAAGTCTTAAATGTTATTTAAATAATGTATTTTTGGTAGAATATAAAAAAAAAACTGGTTTTTTGAGAGTAAAAGTTTCATCAATTAGCATCACAAAAGTTTTTGAAAAATTAATACCATAATTACCTTTTAACAAAATTACAAAATTTCGCAAGACCATATTGAGTTGTCTTTTAGTGTTGTGCGAGGTAAAGGTGGTCGCTGTATGAATCCCACTCCAAGGCATTTCAGTGTAACTTACAAAAAATGATTGATATATCATCAAATAAATACATCAAGAAATGTTAGCCTTAGATAACACTAAGATATTGTTAGCAACTCGTAATCCTATTCAACGTTATTCTGAGACTTGAGCTGAACCAGAAAGTAATCCGAACTTAATTGACAGAAGGTGTACTAACACTGAAGAGAAGAAAACAGCATACCGTGAGGACAATGAATGTGTTGAAGATGTTATCAATGCTTTACCTTCATTAAATGAAAGGACTGGAATAATTCTGGCCGAATTTAATGATATTGGCGTAAATACTGGATTAGAGATGCCGTTTAACTGTGCCTTCTTTGTCTTATCCGAATATGCTGATAATGCAGTTGGACTGATAGCTGGATATATAGTACATATGGTAAGTAACCTAATAAATTAATAAATTCATCAAAGTAATGTTTTAAAATATAATAAGTAATACAAAATTAGTATATTTTCTGTTGATAAAAATGTTTTCCCGGTTTTAAAACGTATAAACTGTATGGTATGTAGTGCAGCACTATACACAGGAAATTTAAAAGACAACCGCATTAAATTGATACTACAAAAAACTAACGAAGACCTTTACATTCCAGCTTCTGATGTGATGACAATCTGCCGTACCATAGAATTGTTGTATAAAAGAATAAAATATGACATGACACAATTAACTAAGTCAAATTGGTGCCAGACAAATTTGTGACACAAAAATGTACAAGTGGAGTCACCTTATCTTCTCTACATCGTGGGTACCTTCTACTTTATTAAGTTTACTTTATTTTACTATTTCATAAGCAATTATTAATTATTGTTAAGTGTCATACACTATTTTAATACGTATTTAAAAATTTTAAATATATACTTATGATTACAATTATATGTGTTTGCTGCACGATAAAATCAAAAAATATTCTATAATATTACGTTAAGTTCACTGTAGCATATTCCTCGTAAAATACGATTATAATTAGGTACCTTTATAAGTATATATATATCAGTAGGTATATTAAAAAACTTTATTAATCATAAAACGACGGAGGAGTAAGTATTTGAAACAGTTTTTCTTTGGCTTTTACTGCATCATAATATATAGATAGCTCAGGATAAAATTTTTTTTTAATTTTTCAACTCCAGCATTAGATTCTGAACCAACAAAATGTTATAATATGTTATGTAACTTAGAGGCGCACGATTTTCCATGTATATACATACCTATTACCTATGCCTTTAATGGTTCAATCACAATCCGGTCAAGTCACTATATATATATATATATATATATATATATATATATATGCTCTAAACGGAATACTTACCATAACTTTATATTACGTTATTATAGAAGTAATAGTATACAGCAGTAAAGTAGTACCTAGTAAATCGAGCGAGTAAATATTTTTTTTTTTTAGAGTTTATAATAGTATATATATATTATTGTAATTGATTTGCATATATTCATTTTCAAAACGTATATATAGAGATATAAATGTATAGATACTAATAGGTTTAATACTAAACGGCAAAACTGCAGAGCAAGTTAACGAACAGGTAATATTAAGTTAGTATGGTTGAATTTGTCACATGCTGAGTTAAACTAAGTTTATTTTAAAAAAAATTGAACGCGTTAACACGTTCAAAGTTAATTGTTTATTAATTAACAACAAGTTAATTTAAAAGTCGATTTGAAAATAAAATTAACTAATTAACTTAGTTTAAGTTAGGTACTTATTATTAATGTTTTTGTAAAATTGGTTTTGTCATACCTACTGAAAATGATTGAAACTAAAGAGTGTGGGATTTTTTAAAATTACAAGGAAATTCAATGTTCAACACATGAGTTTATATCATGCTAAATAAATCAAATTATAATACACCTACTCATTATGAACTAAGGATTTCATACGAATTATTTTTGGTTAAAAAATAACAATATTCATACGATAGAACCTAATGAACTATAGTTAATATAATATAATACAACTATAGTATAATATAATTTTATTAAAATATGTAATAAAATTGAGTTTAACTTCATTTCAACTTTTCAGCCCACATAATCCATGTATTTTATAAAATGTATTGTTTTATACTTTTGTAATATTATTAAGCGTAACTGGTACTAAATTAAAAATAGGTCCCTATGTGCGAGCTATTTTTCTGTTTATTGCGTTTTTTGTTTTTAATTTGTGTTTACTCCATACGGAGAACTCGATATTAGTTCCAAAATAATGACAAAACAGACATTTATATATTATTGTATATAAAGTGCGTCACACTTGAAATCGACAGCTAAAATTAAAAGCAGAATATCGCCGAATCGAACAAAAGTATATAAATTGAATAGGTACTCGTTTACTTATTGCCATTTAAAAGTAAAAATAAAACAAATAAATAAACAATATATTTGTAAATGTAACGGTATGTACAAATTCAATACAATGCCTACGTTGTTGGTAGAAGATGAAAATTGCAGTAAAATTTGAAAGTAGGCGAATAAAAACAAAATAGTTGACGTCCGAAAAGCCATTGTTTTAAGATTGGCAGTCAGTATTTTATTATTATGTACACCAAAATTTAAAGCAACAACGGCGTATCATTACAGTTCATTAAATTTTATTTTTTCTTCTTCTCTTTCCTCTTCATCCCTACTATTTCGGGCCAACCACTCTCGTCCTAAACTTCCACTTGAACCGATCTCCCACCTCACATACACCGGCTATCCTCATATCATTCCCAACTGCATTCATAACCACCTCTTTTTTGGTCCTTTTCTCCTCCTCTTTCCTCCTACGTGTATTTTGATTACAATACTTAATGCTTCTGATAACTATCTCCTCGTGAAATGCCCAAACCGTCTTAGTCTATTTTATCTTTTTTGTATATATATTAGAGCATTATTAGCAATAGCTACATCATGGAACGAAAAAAAAACATTATCGAATATAATAATAATTGTACTATTATAATATCTGTAAACGATGATTTCGTGGTTTTACGCGTTAAGAAAAGAATTGATAACAGTTTAAAAAAAAAAAAAAAAAAAAATTGTATACAGAACAAATAAATATGACTAAATTGAAATTCAAACGTGGTTAGAAATAAATCTAACCGAAACACTTTTTCAACGGTTGGCGATTACAATATGTAACCGGTCACATGTGAAAACGATAAACAGCCGTCAAGATAATGTCACGGAACTATTACACATCACGTTTAAATCACGGTTGGCAGAAACGTCGACTGAAAATCTAATCGCATACACCTATATCGTATAACACGACACGAAACCGGACCACATTATCAATATCGGAACACATGCCGTGGTTTTCAAATACGATAACGACAATAATAATAATTTATACTATTTTGTATGTTGCGTATTTGTATTATTTTTTTTTTTAATTTTTATTCAATTTAATATAAATAAAGATAACTAGGCCTCACTGAGTTTAAAACTCGTGTGGAGGCCCAGGAGTTATCTTGTTTACCACATGTTTTTTATACAACTAAAAAGAAAAAAAAAATTGAAATTCAAAAGTGTGAATTAGAACGGCAAAATAAAATAAAATAAAACAAACAATTAAATAAAAAGGGGAAGTTTACAATGCGGGTATTTAATAATAGTATTTAGGTTTTGATGCATCGTATTCGTGAAGAAGCCAGTGAGTAATGTATTCTTGGAACATGGGTAAGGATCTTTGGGTATTATATTATATATCTGAGTCCCAAATGACTCGGATACATGTATGATGGAGTTAAGTTAGGACGGCGAAAAGCTTCAGGGACATGTTCGTTTATAAGATTTTTTCCCGTGTTACAAAATATATATTAATTTGATTATACAGATTCGGGCCAAATAGTTGGTGTTTTTTTTTTTTTTTTTTTGTTTTATATATATAATAAGCATATCATATATTTTAAAAATGAAAATTGTGTTCGTGTGAATAAAGTCGTTCTCCAAAAAAAAAAATAGGGTAGTTGAATAATTTAAATGAAAACGCATCAACAATAACCTTCAAAATATATTCTAGGTAGTTTCAGTGGCAGACATATGCTTTTGGAATGAGGATAATTTTTAAGAACTATTAATATTTACCTACATAATTTTTTTTTGTTTTATAACTAAAGATATAATATAAATTATATATTATCGTAAATGTATTTATTATTATATTATATATTAGTATTAATTATATATACCTATATAAGTATTATTATAAATATTTAAGAAAAATTAGGTGACGGGGTAATATCCTTCCTCACCTCTCCTCCCATCGTATGACCTTTTGTAGGTACTTAAACGTTGCTGTTTTTAGGATAGGATAGGCTAGGTTTGTATAACGAACAGATGTTACGGTTCGATTGACCAAAGAAATGACACAATTATTACTATTGCCTAATTCACGGTATCAAACGGTATTGTTGTTAGTAAATAAAAACAAATCGTTTGAAAATGTTCAACTTGATGACGCAAGTCACTCGATATCGCAATAAAATATATGTACAATTAAAAACAAATACATTGAAAAGTACACCAGAAGATGTTGAAGATGCTGCACGGTTAGTTCGGTTTTATTAAAATTAAATTAAACTGCCCATTAGAAAAAAAAAAAAATAAAAGAATTAGACCACCCCTACCATTTTCATACGACGGCGGCCGGTCGTTTCCTCACGAGACACATTGTAGAACATTAAACATATTATACGCGTTATACTAATACCCGTTTTATTGATCGTCGGTTTTAAGAGAATTTATGTTCCGGTTAACGTTAATCCGCAGTAAACTATACGTAATTAATGCCGATTTTATTGTCACCGAGTAATAATTTCAACTGCAGACAAATTAACCCGAGACATCCGGTCGGTTAAATAGTATAATAAGATTTAATTAATTTTTTTTTTCTGTTTAGTTAATATCGTCAGATCTTACATTGTTACGCGAATGAACATTTTATGCGATATTACCTATACTATTGATTTTCAAACGCTTTTGTTTGTTTTGCATTTAATTTTAGTCTCGAGGTATAAATAGTCGAATGGATATCGGAATAATATATTTATGAATGTATATATAATATACTATTATTTGCGAAAAGAAAGAAAAAACCACTCGGAACGTGCATGCACCGTGTACATGCTGCAAATGACGTCTCCCTGTCTGAAGTCGAAAAACTGAAATCGTATTACACACGTGCGGTTTTTAAGAGAACGGCACACATGCATATGTTGTTTCCGTATTACAAACACACTATATAGTTAAAACACGCTTACGCAGACTACACAGAACACGCTTAATTTTGATTTTAGAGTAAAAGCACCTATTATAAAATCAAAAGAGAACAATATTCCGGAGGACAAGACGCTGCGTTTTTTTCATTTTCTCCGGGGTGATTTTTAATAAATTTTTTCTGATTGCACATATTCATTCCCAATTCTTGATTGTAGGAGTAAATGACGTAGACTTATTACCCATGACATGCCAATTAAACTATTTTTTAATTTTGTTAATAACTATAACTAATAAGTACATATATTTGTAGGTAATAATAATTATTTATTTTAATTAAAACTAAACAATATTGTTTAGGTATAACTTCTTTTTTTAATTTAAATGTTCTGTTTTACACTTTTACTTGCAAAAAAATACAAGTATTTAGAATCGATTTTCCAAATTAAATATATAAATATGCTCTCAATCTAAAATTCATAAGAAATACTCACAAAACCGTGAAAACGAAAATATAGTATTAATATTAGTGTTATATTGGTATAAATACCAAATATCTGTTATCATTTTGTTTACAGTATCTTATATATTAGACAATTTATTAACATGGAAAAATTATAGGTAGTATTAAAGCTGATTGTAAATCATTGAGTATTCAGGTAAATTTAAAAAATAAAAATGTAAATCAAAAATTCAAAACATCGGGAGTGTGATAAAATATATTTGTCTGTTTGCAATGCAAAAAAACTCGATCAGAGAGCACGATAAAACTAAAACATAATAATCAATTTTTAAAAATTATATTGAAACAATTTTTATTTATTTGAGGTTTAAGTAATCATCATTTAATAATATAGTATAAATAATAACAAAAAATTGTTCACACTGCTCAAATTAATAATTTTTACTGCATAATAACTTTTCTCGCTTTAAAATGTTTCATTGCACACTAAAATAAAATCATGATTTTCTCCGAATACAACTATCAATTAACCGTTTATAAAATAACGACTTTTTCAACGTTTTTTTGAATTCGCTAAAACTTTAAAAAAAAAAAAGAAATGTTTTTCCCTCCGTAATATTGTTCTCGATTAATTTCATAATAGCTGCTTTTACACTAAAACCAAAACTAAGCAAGTTCTGTGTAGTCTTTGTGTTTGTAAGACAAAAACATCCTTTTAAGACCTTTTATTTTATATTTACATATATTTTTTTTTGTTTTTAAGATTTCGCTAAATTCGAAACGAAGCTACTCTTGGACGAATATAATATAATGAGCAGCGATTGCTAATAGTGTACGGCGTAATTCGAACAGAGTAATTCATTATAATATACAAATTTTCAAAACTAAAAATATCTTCTCTCCGCGCTGACATCATCGGCCGCGTTGCAGAATCCTTCAAAATTACTATCGATATTATAGGTATAAGTACCCGGTAAAAAAAAAGCGCATATCTAGCGGCGAATATTATCGAAAAATTACGCACAGGTGCGCACGCATGAGTCACGTCAGTGGTGGTAGCGGTGGCGCAAACTGCAGTTGACCTTGAGGTGAAAAAAAACAGAACATCAAAAAAAAAAAAGTACATTAATATACATTTTGCGGACGAGGTAGAAGAGACGACGAAAAAATCCGTGGATAAAGTATATATAATATTGTAATATTAACGAAAAAAAAAAAATAGTAATAAAAAAAGCAACGCGCGTATACTCGGCCGTTCTCTGTTGAATGAGGTGCGACGAGTGTCTATAATATTATTATTATAACGGGCTAGGGGAGTGGGGTGGTGGGGAGGCAAAGCAAACCGATGAATGAATCGAGACGAGTGGTCCAACAGGTTCCGAACGGCGGCGTCGTCGTTGTCGCCGCCGCGGCCTCAGCCGCCGTCCCGTGACAACAGGAAATTGTGTATACGACGATATAATAATAATAATATGTAGTGATAAAAATAAAAATAAAAGAATTAAAAAAAAAAACAAAATCGTAAATGAGATGAAGTAGTTTTTTTTTCTTTATTATGATATTACGATACGAGCGGATATTATAGGTAGTTATATATTATTATGTATGCCTTGCGGGACCGTCCAGCACCGCGAAATCGTCTACTATCTATTATCCTGTATTTTTGAAACATGGTGTAAACACCTACATAGTCCCATTTTACCTGCCAAAAATAGATGGCGTAATCTCCTACGTAGACCGTTTTACATTTTAGATTCTGAGTGTATCGAGGAATGCATATTGGTTTTACAACGACGTTTATTTGAGATTATTGCACTTAAGTGGGAAAAAAAACGTACGATTATTCGATTTCATTGTTTTAAATTAACACGCATGACGTTTTATACCAGAAATAGTTATCCAACGGAAAAATGATAAAAGACCTTTTTCATTGCATTTTGGATAAATATTCGTAGACTTACGGATGTAAAATAATAAAATATAAAATAAAATCTACTAAACACATTAATTTAAGGTATCGTATTGGAAATTATCGAACATTTCGATAACGTCTACGTTATTTCCGTAAATTGTAAGTAAAATAATCTCTGTCTATCATTATTTTTAGCTTTTGACTGATTTTTAATTATTTTACTTTTTACAACTTTACACCTATCTAGTGTAGTTAGTTAACACTATCTTCTGTAGAAGTTAACACTATCTTTTGTAGGAGTTAACACTATGTTTTTTAGGAGTTAACACTATGTCAATGTAAGAGATTACCTACTTTTGTAGGAGTTTACCATCCCCCATAAAAGTAACGTGTGTCTATGAAAAATTATCGAAACCAGGTTGACGGTTTTTATTTTTGTTTGATACTTTTCAAACTTAATTTTTATTCACCCGATATTTATGTGTTCCATTACGAGGAATACATAGCCATTATCTAAAAACGGTCAAATTTGGAACAGTTTTAGTATTCAAATGTTAACAGGCAAAATCCAAGATATTATGAAAACCGCTTGAAAAATCAAAAACTTACCTCCCAAAAGTACCATCTGGACAATATTTCGTTTCAGAAATGGTACCGTGCGTATATATCGGAGGTAGATTTCTAGTCCAATTGTTGTACACAGTGTAAAAAAAAAAAAAATAAAATATCTTAGTAAAACCATACAAAAATGTATTTGAAAAAAGAGAATTCGTTTCAAATTTTTCCGTTCTAGATTTTTATTTAACAGTTTAGATGTGAAAATTAAAAATTGTCCATTAAAATTTAGTACTTCCGTTCCGTGCATGGTTCAAATTTAGTTTAGATAATAATTGTTTTTTGTGTTTATACCTTTTTGGTATAGATTTCCCCTCCTTAAGTAGGTATTCATTATACGTATGATAAATATATACCTATTGTTTAAACCGTAAACGAATCAAAGCTAAATTTTTATAATTTTTTTTTGTGTACAGAAATTACAATAGATTTTTTTTTTTTTTTAATGCATGCCACTGTTTTTTTTTAATTTTAATTAATGTTTATAGTTATAAACTGTTTTGTCATTTTGTATCCTATGCTTTCTCATTCATTGTATTCAAAATTATAGTTTAATAATGGTACAATAGTTGAACAGTCTAACGAAATACTTAATAAAAAATATGTTTACTATATTTTTGAATAATACGAGTAAGAATTATGTTACCTATATAACCTGCACCAGGCCATAATATGGTCCAGGCCATCTAGAAAATTCCCATTCACAGACTGGCCACTCCACCCCTAGCTCCTCGGGCTAATTTAGATGTAGCTTATCGTGTGGTCAGTTTTATCTAAAATTGTATAGATTGTATCTAGATTGATAATATAATTATCTAGATAAAGATAAATAATCAAGAACTTGTATAACCGTTTTCTAAGATACAAAAAAAAATATACAATTGGTTTCATTATCCAGGTTTAGGACTTATATAACTGGTAGAAAACAATATGTTTCTATTTCAGCATCCACTTCAGAAATGTATGCTGTTACATCTGGTGTTGCTCAAGGTGGCCACCTAAGTCCTTTATTATTCTCTCTCTTTGTAAATTCATTACCACTGTGGCTTACTCAAGTAAAATTTTTACTTTATGCTGATGGTATAAAAATATATTATACTTTCCTGCTTCAGAGCGAACTAAACATATTTACCGAATGGGTTTCCAACCTTGGACTATCTCTAAATATAACGAAATGTCATGTAACTTCTTTCTCTAGAGCACGCTCTCCCATTCTATTCAATTATTTTCTCCATGACTCCAAATTAGAACGCGTCTACAGCATTAAAGATTTAGGATTTAATTATTCAACTGATCTCAGTTTCAGCACTCGCGTCAATATTGTAGTTAACAAAGCTTTAAAAACACTCCAGTTAATCATCCATAATACAAAATTATTTATATCTCCCAGATGCCTGTGTACTTTTTATTTTGCCCTAGTTCGCTCACTATTAGAATACAGATCAATAGTATGGAAACCTTTTCTAGCTAAAGATCAAATTCGTCTTGAGCATGTACAAAACAAATTTTTAAATTATGTAGCGTTTCAATTTAGTATTCATCACATTCCCCACGACTATACCAATATGAGGCAGGTTCTGAATATTCAAACATTATCTTCTCGCCGTGATAATGCGGATTTAGAATTCATATCTGCCCTATTAAATGGCTCACTTGATGTGCCTGATCTCCTTTCATCCATACCTTTCAGAACGCCGAGCCATTCATCTAGAACCCAGTCTCGATTCTATATCTCAGCTCATAAAACTTCATACGGACATAATCACATACTACATCGAATTTTTAGAGCTGCGCGTTCAGTTTAAGTACCTAAGCCACGTTCTTCAATTTTTTTTTTCCTCATCTTTAAATTGTATATTTTTGTATTATAGTGTTTTTTATTTTTATTTTTTGTTGTTTGCACTTACCAATAGTTATTTTTTGATATGTTATTTCTAGTTTTACCTTAATTAATTTGTGTACCGTACTATTTTTTATCCATGCCATATTGCCATTTGGCGTGAATAAAATAATAAAAATAATTACCAATTATAAAACAAAGTGCTAAAATAAAAACAGCGTACCGGATTTGGCACATATGTAGATTTCGCATCGTGATTGATGTAACTTAATAATAATATTTATTAAACCATACAAATTTAAATTGAATATTTTATCGAATTATTATTGAAAATTATGATTGAAAAATATTCATCAAGACCATTCGATTATTTATCTTAGAAATCGCCTCGGATAATTTATTTGTCGCGTATCTAAATAAGGTAAGGGTTAGACGAGACGACACACAACGCCGAACAAAACCGATTTATAGCCGAGACTCCGCCGTCCGTCAAATTATAATATGTATTATTATGATCTAACATCTATAGGAATATGCAATCCATTCGATTCGTCTTCTTATCAAACTTTACCGCGGTCCGTGGCAATAATATAGTAGCATAATAATATAGACACATGGAATTAAATATTATAATGCGATAAACACATTTTTTAGGATTAAAGTATTATAAATACGATAAACACGCAATTCGTATTCGGTAATATTTACGAAGTGGCCGTGGGTCATCGACATATTATTTTATTATATATATTATTTGACGTCGTGGTATATTAAAATTCAAACAACGATCGTTTAAATGGGTTTCTCTCGAGTCGCACGGCGTCAAATATATCAACATTAAAATAATTATATTTTTATATGAATAAAAAATGTTTAAAAAAGTGTCTATTCGTATATTATATTCGTATAAAATTATTTCATTATAATCGCGGAATATGTCATTAAATTAAATCGACTAGTTTATACTGTAAATATTCAGCTTCTTGTTTAAATATAATACTATTTATTACAATTTTGTACCGCGTAAAAAATAATGTAATAACAATAACTATAGGTATTGAGTAATTTTTTTTTTTAATCAAACCCCTAATTGTATAAGATTAGATAACTCTTGTCAAGTTAGAAGTCATAAAGGTAAAGGGTTATAATTATTTGTAGATACGAACTATTAGTTTATATATTATAATGCAGTATGCAAAATCATTGCAAACGAAAAACGATTCTATGCAGTGAGTAAAGTATATTGTAAAACAAATATTTTGGTTGAATTAAAGTAAACACATTATTGTACTGATTTGTAACTGCAAAACAAACATATGATCGTTCGTGTTGTATACGAATTTTAACATAAATTCGATCTTGAAACGCTAATAAATAATTATAATAAATTGTGAATATTTTATCCGAATAAATTTTCTCACTCCTCTCCCCTAAAAAAAAATTAAACAATTTTAATTAACTACATAAATAACTTAATAAAAGTCAGAATTCTCTAAAAAAAAAATTAATTCCAGTGGCGGATTTACGGAGAGGGTCCAGCGGGTCTAGACACTGATATCTGATCGCACATTAATTTAACAAACAAAATAAAAAACGCGTTATATATGTTAAGCACACAAAATTATACGCTCGGCTGCAGGGATTGAAATTCACTGCAATATTTAAATATATTATAGTTTATATTTCCCGGTGTAGTATAGTTAAAATTTGTTAAATTAACGATTTTATTTAAAACTGGTAACTCGACGAGATTTTCGTTTTATAATGTGACGTACACACCGTACACATGGCTGCAGTTTATTTAATTGATGCAGTTGGACGCGATTATAAAAAAAAAAAAACGTACTACCAGAATATAAAATGTATTATGTATATTAATGTATATTGTGATGTCGATCAAAAACCTGATTTCGACGGGATGCTACATCATAAAATCACGTACGGCTAATATAATGTTATATATTTCATATATAACATTATTTTAAATGCCTAATATTAAATTTAACATCGTCGATTAGTAGTGTTTTCACGATCACTCATACAGTGAATATTATTATGTTAATATTTCGCTTTATCGATGGTATATAGGTGTCCCTATTACATCAGTGGCGTACACAAGGGGGATGATGTGGGTGATACATCACCTGCCAAACAAGTCTAAAATCAATATATTTTTCTCTTTCGCAGTAACTTTTTAGAAAAAAATACAAAATGAATGATATTAAAATATTAATGCAGTGAGACCTCTTAATACTGGACATTCTCGGGCACTGAAATTTTGTTCGTTATTTAGAGGGAGAAAGTGTCCGTTATTTAGTGTTCCGTATTTGTATCTAGAGGCTTTCATATAGATGAGTTAGTGAAAATATTCTCGTTCCCAAATAAACGTCCGCTATTTATAGCTGTCCGTTAAGAAGACTAATTGTTCGGTATAATATAGTTTTAATATAATCTTATGATTATTATGTATTATTTATAATTTTGTCTTGATATTTTTAACAAATATTCGTATTACCCTTCCCCCCAAAAAAAATGTTCCTAGTTACACCACTGTATCACATTAATTTGGATACTAATTTTTTTTTTTTTGTCGAAAGTACACTAACTAGTGACGGCAGATGTTCGGTAAAAACAAGACATCCACAATATTCACAGCAAACAGAGCATTCACACAAAAAAGACAACTACGCTCGAACAAATCTTGGTCTAAAAATCAGAAAGAACTTCACCAAATGCTACGGAATGTATTGTTCTGTAATGGTGAAACAAAGCAGGCACGGAGCAAAGATCGAGGGGGGGAACGAACAATTATTTTACAACACAAAAACAATTACAATATAATATAACAGCAAAAATTAAAATTTCTTAAAAGCTCAAAAGTTTTAGCAATGGTACGGTAAAAAAGTAAATCAAAAAGGTATCTTGTGATTTTTCGATTAAATCATTTTTTTCTGGTAAAAAACGTCGTCCGTGTTTTTATAAAATAATGAAATCGTGAAATTATACGTTTTCCTATATTTTTTCCCACTAAAGTACATTTATTTAAAACGTGGCGTCAAAAATCTCTCTAATTCTCTAAAGTACAATACAATCTAGAAAACTTGAACTTTCAAAAAAGGTGCTACACTTTTACATTGGAGCAATTTAACTAGGGAAAAACGTATCCACAGTCTAGAACAAAGAAAGAAAAAAAGGAAGAAAAATAAACAGCTTTGTAAAACCAATAGCTCCCGCGCTACACTCGAAATCTAAAAAAAAACTAAAAGTAATGGAAAAATGGACACGCAGATGATTATTTCGTAATAGTTGGACTGAAAGAAGAAACAATTCCCCTGATATTAGGGGAGTAGAGAATATGCTATCCATAATAAGATCAAGAAACGGGGTTCTTAATAAGACATAATAGCTTCTAATGAAATTCAGAATCAATGGCCGCAAAAAAAGAGGAAATCAAGGAAGAAATGCATATGAAACATGATTGAAATATCAGGATTCAACGGGTACTCACTACTGAAATTAGTGGTAGGAAAAAAAATGACGAAGTTCGATAACACGGATTTTCGGATAATCCGGAATTATATCACATCACTAACTCACTTACAAATATTCTAGCGTTAAAGAGAGAGAAATGGAACAGTATATTCACTACGACAAAGTCTAACTTTCAGGAAAAGAAGAAGAACACTGATATCTGAATCTATAGCTGAAGATTTGTTAGTTTTAAAATAATAATTGTGTCGTTGCTCTAATAATTAGCATTTTCAGGCGAGGTTTCTGGTAATAGATTTTGTTTATGTTTGATACATTGAAGGGTTATTTTTTTATTTTGATTTTCCTTGAAAATCTAACTAGGAAAAAAACGAGGCAATGTATCCGCAATAACAGTATTTTTGTTTTTATAATTCAGTTAAAAATTATCGCAGAGAATTGAATCTTTCACCAAATTATTTCCTAGACATGTTAGACAATTTTCAAAATCTTATAGTAGTTTATAATATTAGTTTCAATTTTACGTTATTAGTAATTATTTTTGGCGTTTAGATTTTGAATGGCGTGAAGAAACTTATGGTTTTCCAAGATGTTTATTTAATTATTTTTTATTTTTATCTGTGCGCTACCAGGACTCTAGTTCCGATTTACAATTATAGTATTTTTTCTAAAAGGAAATCTGACTGGGGAGGTACTTTAAAGAGGTCATTTTTTGATTTTCTGAAGAGTTTTTCCAGAAAAAACGTGGGTAAAACGGAAAATCGGTACAATATTAAACAAATATTATTAAAGAAAATATATAATGTCTATTTAATTATTTTACCATAGTAGTATGACATATATATTGTTGACAAAACATCACTATCAACTGAACTGTTCTCCTCAGAATCGTGTTTCGTTGGCAATGGTTTATCGTTGCTTACAGATAGAAATTAATTTTCCCTCTATATCCTACCGTCCCAACTTCTCATCAACAACAGTGGTTGCAACAATCGTACGAAGTATGTCCACCTTTTTCTTTTTCGGTCTTCTTTTAGTTCTCGTCTCAATTATTTGATTAGTTTGCTAACTAAACTAACTAAACTCATAGAAACTCTCTCTATCCACTTCTAATATGAATTGTTTTATATTATGCTTTCGTGTCGTAGTGGTCACCCTATCAGTTTTCCCTTCCGACTTTAATACTATAACAAAAATTGTTTTTTTTTTTTTTGATTTTTCCAAAAATGCTTGAAAACTAGTTAATCTTAAATCATAATAGTTTTAATACGAATTAGGAAATTTGAATGATGAGTCGTTACAAAAAATGTACGCGTTTATAATAAAACACTAAATAAATACTAAATAAAATACTATAGAATTATATCTATTCGAACCCGAAGATATTTCGATTTACGACGTGATGTATCATGCTGCAGTTTACTTTATAATCGACGAGTGTAGGGCGCGAATAGTAATAATAGTATTAAAAAAAAA